GAGTAATTCAGAAAATTATATCTAATGTGATATAAAAATATTTCTTATACAAAACTTTTCCTATATGAACTGTTTTAATTTGATATAAAATAGCCAGGACCAAAAGTATAAACATCTAAGGGACGGGCTGTGGGATGAGTTTCTCAAATAACTTCTCAAGTTACAATTATTGCAAGATGTTGTGTGAAAAACAATGGGGCTATTATCTATTATTCAGATGAAGACAAGAGTGTACATTTTGAAGTTATTTTTTCAATATTATTATTATTAGTGTTTATTGTTTTTACTCGGGTAATAATGTTTCAAAACTAATCGAATAAATAAAAAATTAGCCAACACCGGTAATAAAGCTTACGATGGTACAATGAATATATTTCCAGTATGAATAAATAAATTACAATATCGAGTCACGATTAGTTACCAGAGATTTACAGTGGGCTTATTTTTACACAAGTATCATGGCGAACACATTCGCGTTTAAAGATAACTGAACATTGTTTTTACCGTTTTTCTACTACGCCCTTGGCAATTGGTTTACGAGATATTATTAAGATTTTTCGCCATCGGAATGCTCACGTGATGTCTGTTTGAGTGATGACTACGACGCTGGAGACCTTCCGTCCGACACCAATGTAACTACATAATTACCACCAGTGGGTACACGAAAGATCCGTTAATCACCCGGTTTATCATCTATGACTGCGTATGCGTATGTTTTTAATAACGCTACACTGCATAATGTACAATATTACACCGGCTACACTCGGTGCTGGGTCAACGTTCGCGCTATAATGTTAACGCCTAACCGCTTCTCGATATTATTATTTTAACGTTATCATTAACGCTATTATTATTATTCCTTGTCTCGCGCCTAGTTTTCAGGTCGTAGTCGTCGCAGCCAACGCCACCTATTCTTGCGATCAGCCCGATTCGGCTTCAGATCCGCGTGTGCGCCGAATTTATTATTACAACAACAATCGTCTATTACAAATTAAAATTAATATCATTATTATTGGCGTGTTTATCAATTGCGGTTGTTGGATAGCGAGCGCAAAATAGAACCACATAAGTGGTACGGACAGTAGACCAGTTTGGCCTCCTTAAATTCGATAACAGCATTCCTCCGTGAAACCAGCATCTGGCACGGTGTACACTGTCGTCTCTATTGTACCTTTTATTATTATTGTCATGGTAAACTTTACATTAATTCCATGCTTGTGTTGACGTATTAATAAAAATCATTACATTTATGTACACTTGTTAATGTATAGGGTGTTCAGTAAGTAAGAAAATGGGATCCTATTGTACTCATTGATTGTAAAAT